ATTCAAATCTGAGATACCAGGCGCACAGAAATCAGCAGAAGGTCGCTGCCTTTTTCAATTTCTCGTTTTTTCTTGTTTCTCTTTGTATTTCGTTGCTCTCTCTTTTCGCTCTAATTTTTCTCATTTTCTGCCTCCACTTTCCACCGTTCAAATGGCAGAAAACGGTTAAATTCAAATCTGAGATACCAGGCGCACAGAAATCAGCAGAAGGTCGCTGGTTTTTTTAATTTCTCGTTTTTTCTTGTTTCTCTTTGTATTTCGTTGCTCTCCTCTTTCGATCTAATTTCTCTCATTTTCTGCATCCACTTTCCACCGTTCAAATGGCAGAAAACCGTTAAATTCAAATCTGAGATACCAGGCGCACAGAAATCAGCAGAAGGTCGCTGCCTTTTTCAATTTCTCGTTTTTTCTTGTTTCTCTTTGTATTTCGTTGCTCTCTCTTTTCGCTCTAATTTTTCTCATTTTCTGCATCCACTTTCCACCGTTCAAATGGCAGAAAACCGTTAAATTCAAATCTGAGATACCAGGCGCACAGAAATCAGCAGAAGGTCGCTGCCTTTTTCAATTTCTCGTTTTTTCTTGTTTCTCTTTGTATTTCGTTGCTCTCTCTTTTCGCTCTAATTTTTCTCATTTTCTGCCTCCACTTTCCACCGTTCAAATGGCAGAAAACGGTTTAATTCAAATCTGAGATACCAGGCGCACAGAAATCAGCAGAAGGTCGCTGCCTTTTTTTAATTTTTCGTTTTTACTCGTTTCTCTTTGTATTTCGTTGCTCTCTCTTTTCGCTCTAATTTTTCTCATTTTCTGCCTCCACTTTCCACCGTTCAAATGGCAGAAAACGGTTTAATTCAAATCTGAGATACCAGGCGCACAGAAATCAGCAGAAGGTCGCTGCCTTTTTTTAATTTCTCGTTTTTTCTTGTTTCTCTTTGTATTTCGTTGCTCTCTTTCTTCGCTCTAATTTTTCTCATTTTCTGCCTCCACTTTCCACCGTTCAAATGGCAGAAAACCGTTAAATTCAAATCTGAGATACCAGGCGCACAGAAATCAGCAGAAGGTCGCTGCCTTTTTCAATTTCTCGTTTTTTCTTGTTTCTCTTTGTATTTCGTTGCTCTCTCTTTTCGCTCTAATTTTTCTCATTTTCTGCCTCCACTTTCCACCGTTCAAATGGCAGAAAACCGTTAAATTCAAATCTGAGATACCAGGCGCACAGAAATCAGCAGAAGGTCGCTGCCTTTTTCAATTTCTCGTTTTTTCTTGTTTCTCTTTGTATTTCGTTGCTCTCTTTCTTCGCTCTAATTTTTCTCATTTTCTGCCTCCACTTTCCACCGCTCAAATGGCAGAAAACCGTTAAATTCAAATCTGAGATACCAGGCGCACAGAAATCAGCAGAAGGTCGCTGCCTTTTTCAATTTCTCGTTTTTTCTTGTTTCTCTTTGTATTTCGTTGCTCTCTCTTTTCGCTCTAATTTTTCTCATTTTCTGCATCCACTTTTCCACCGTTCAAATGGCAGAAAACCGTTAAATTCAAATCTGAGATACCAGGCGCACAGAAATCAGCAGAAGGTCGCTGCCTTTTTCAATTTCTCGTTTTTTCTTGTTTCTCTTTGTATTTCGTTGCTCTCTCTCTTCGCTCTAATTTTTTCTCATTTTCTGCCTCCACTTTCCACCGCTCAAATGGCAGAAAACCGTTAAATTCAAATCTGAGATACCAGGCGCACAGAAATAAGCAGAAGGTCGCTCCTTTTTCAATTTCTCGTTTTTTCTTGTTTCTCTTTGTATTTCGTTGCTCTCTCTTTCGCTCTAATTTTTCTCATTTCTGGCCCATTTCCACCGTTCGAATGGCGAACCGTTAATTCAAAACAAGAGACCAGCGCAGAAATCAGCAGAAGGTCGCTGCCTTTTTCAATTTTCTCGTTTTTTCTTGTTTCTCTTTGTATTTCGTTGCTCTCTTTCTTCGCTCTAATTTTTCTCATTTTCTGCCCCCCCCTTTCACCGTTCAAATAGCAAGAAACCGTTAGAATTCAAATCGAAAATCAGGCGCACAGAAATCAGCAGAAGGTCGCTGCCTTTTTCAATTTCTCGTTTTTTCTTGTTTTCTTTGTATTTCGTTTTCTCCTTTCTTCGCTCTAATTTTTCTCATAAAATGCCACAAAAATTACAGCGTAAAGAGACAGCAACGAAATACAAAGAGAAACAAGAAAAAACGAGAAATGAAAAAGGTCAGCGACCTTTTGCTGATTTCTGTCGTTGTCTTGTTCAGATTTGAATTTAACGGCTTTCTGCCATTTGAGCTAATAGTGGAGGCAGAAAATGAGAAAAATTAGAGCGATAAAAGAGAGAATGAATTACAAAGAGAAACGAGAAAAAACGAGAAATGGAAAAGGGCAGCGACCTTCTGCTGATTTCTGTGCGCCTGGTATCTCAGATTTGAATTTAACGGTTTTCTGCCATTTGAGCGGTGGAAAGTGGAGGCAGAAAATGAGAAAAATTAGAGCGAAAAGAGAGAGCAACGAAATACAAAGAGAAACAAGAAAAAACGAGAAATTGAAAAAGGCAGCGACCTTCTGCTGATTTCTGTGCGCCTGGTATCTCAGATTTGAATTTAACGGTTTTCTGCCATTTGAGCGGTGGAAAGTGGATGCAGAAAATGAGAAAAATTAGAGCGAAGAAGAGAGAGCAACGAAATACAAAGAGAAACAAGAAAAAACGAGAAATTGAAAAAGGCAGCGACCTTCTGCTGATTTCTGTGCGCCTGGTATCTCAGATTTGAATTTAATGGTTTTCTGCCATTTGAACGGTGGAAAGTGGATGCAGAAAAATGAGAAAAATTAGAGCGAAAAGAGAGAGCAATGAAATACAAAGAGAAACAAGAAAAAACGAGAAATTGAAAAAGGCAGCGACCTTCTGCTGATTTCTGTGCGCCTGGTATCTCAGATTTGAATTTAACGGTTTTCTGCCATTTGAACGGTGGAAAGTGGATGCAGAAAATGAGAAAAATTAGAGCGAAAAGAGAGAGCAACGAAATACAAAGAGAAACAAGAAAAAACGAGAAATTGAAAAAGGCAGCGACCTTCTGCTGATTTCGTGCGCCTGGTATCTCAGATTTGAATTTAATGGTTTTCTGCCATTTGAACGGTGGAAAGTGGAGGCAGAAAATGAGAAAAATTAGAGCGAAAAGAGAGAGCAACGAAATACAAAGAGAAACAAAAAAAAACGAGAAATTGAAAAGGAGCGACCTTCTGCTGATTCTGTGTGCCTGGTATCTCAGATTTGAATTTAACGGTTTTCTGCCATTTGAGCGGTGGAAAGTGGGAGGCAGAAAATGAGAAAAATTAGAGCGAAAAGAGAGAGCAACGAAATACAAAGAGAAACAAAAAAAAACGAGAAATTGAAAAAGGCAGCGACCTTCTGCTGGTATCTCAGATTTGAATTTAACGGTTTTCTGCCATTTGAGCGGTGGAAAGTGGAGGCAGAAAATGAGAAAAATTAGAGCGAAAAGAGAGAGAACGAAATACAAAGAGAAACAAAAAAAAAACAGAAATTGAAAAAGGCAGCGACCTTCTGCTGATTTCTGTGCGCCTGGTATCTCAGTTTTGAATTTAACGGTTTTCTGCCATTTGAGCGGTGAAAAGTGGAGGCAGAAAATGAGAAAAATTAGAGCGAAAAGAGAGAGCAACGAAATACAAAGAGAAACAAAAAAAAAACAGAAATTGAAAAAGGCAGCGACCTTCTGCTGATTTCTGTGCGCCTGGTATCTCAGATTTGAATTTAACGGTTTTCTGCCATTTGAGCGGTGAAATTGGAGGCAGAAAATGAGAAAAATTAGAGCGAAAAGAGAGAGCAACGAAATACAAAGAGAAACAAGAAAAAACGAGAAATTGAAAAAAGGCAGCGACCTTCTGCTGATTTCTGTGCGCCTGGTATCTCAGATTTGAATTTAACGGTTTTCTGCCATTTGAACGGTGGAAAGTGGATGCAGAAAATGAGAAAAATTAGAGCGAAAAAGAGAGCAACGAAATACAAAGAGAAACAAGAAAAAACGAGAAATTGAAAAAGGCAGCGACCTTCTGCTGATTTCTGTGCGCCTGGTATCTCAGATTTGAATTTAACGGTTTTCTGCCGTTTGAGCTGTGTGCGCTGTTAATTTGTTGTTTGCGTAACATTAAAGAGAAATTTTTTTCGGGCTAGCTCTATATTATTTTAGGTACTTTTGACAAATGGATTTTGGCAGGAAAAGCTAGTATAATTTTCCATGGTGCAGTGCACGAGGCGGAGTGTGTGAGCGAGTGAGAAAATGAGCAGTGGGGCAGGCAATGGGAAATTAATTAGTTCATTCTGGCTATAATAGTGATTCGATCTCAAACCAGATTCGGACATCTGCCGGTTTTCGGTTTTCTCGTATCTTCAAAATTGTCGATGCCAGCTCGACTACAAATCTAATATACCGCTTAACTCTCCGAGTAGAGTTAAGGGGTGTACAAGCTCGACAAAAAGTATAGAGGAATTTTTGAAAACAATTAGTTGAAGCGATTGAACGGGGACAGCTCGCAGATTCATATCTATGTGCACATGTATGTATCTTCGGCGTTTCAGCTGAGTGGCTTAATGGCGCTATTACGCATAATTGTTGCCGAAGCAATTGATACAAAATGATTCGCTCAAGTGAGCGCTTTAAACATGTGCAGTTTATGTAATGCTCGTATAAATTACAATTGAAGATATCTATGCTGCCCTCTTTGCCTAACTTCAAAACTTAACTTGTGGCTCAGAAATCGGCTGGCAGTAATTTCCCATTAAGTAATTCCTTTTCTTTAATGCAAGGAACTACTTCGGCGGGAGGGTTTTTTGTTCGAACTGCTCGAAATCAATTTAATTTCCATTATACGGCGTAGTCGAGTGTATATAATGACCATAACTACCGCAAAATATGCTCTTAAAAACGAGCCATCACCAATCTGTGTTCAGTCTGAAATCGACCGTCCAGGAGCCATGATGATGATGGCTCCTTTGGTGATCTTCTGGATATTGCTACTAGCCTCTCCACAGGTGGATAGCAAATTCAAGAGCCTCCACTGCAACAGCTTTGATCTGGACTATGGGGAGTTTCTTCTGTGCAAAATACAAGCCATCAATCGGTACAGGAACTCGATAAGCATTTCGTTTTTGAACAAGAACACGGTCCGCAGTCACTTAACCGTGAGTTATCCGTCATTGAAACATTAAATCAACCTTTGCATTATGTTATTCCACCCACAACTCTTAACCCTTCTCTTGCAGGTTCGTTTGGAATTTTTCAAACGTGCCAATGGCTGGCGACCTTTTCTGTACAACATCACGGTGAACGTATGCGATTTCTTGGACAGAAATAAGACCAAGCCCACCAACAACAACAGGGTCATATTCCGCCTAGCTGCGGCTTACCTCATACCGTACATAACCCGCAGCTACTCCTGTCCCTTCATGGTGAGCTCAGGCTGTTCCAGGCATATTCCCATTATTTGTACCATTCCTTTCACAGGGCAACACGGTGCTGAAACTTGTGAAGCTGGAATTCGATGTGGAGAAGTTCCGCACCCGTTTCCCCATTGAGACGGGCGAGTATGCTCTTCAGTTCAGCCTCTATCACAAGAAGATACTTAGGTACACAGTTAATGGCTCCATGGAGTACTCCAACTACAGAGAGCACTAAAAATCAATAAATTAGAGAAGCCCCCCAAAAATCATTCACAGCAAGTAGTCAGGGGGGGATGGGGAGCACGACTATTCTAATGCCGATCTACTATGGAATCGGTTGAGCGGGCAGCGGCTTATCTTGAATCTCTTAATCGTCAAACGATGCCACTTATCCAATTAGGCTTTAAGCACATAGATTCATAATTCACGATCCATGACGGCTCAATGAGCCCAATGTACATTGAACTGTGTGATTGGATCGAATAAATCGAAATATATATAAATAAAACAACAATTGGGCTGCTTTAGTTCTTATAGTCTCTGTGATCCTGATCAAAGTACTCTTCGAGTACCGGGAATAAAACTTGGCAGTGATGAGGCTGACCAGTGACCTTTTGGACAATAATTTGAACGATAAATAGATGCCATTTTCGATGATAGAAATCGTCGAACCAGAAGCCAAGTGCCTTTCTTTTTATAAGGCAATATTAATATACGCTCCAAGCTTGGACTTTGAACTCTGTAAGTCCAAGTATATTAGTCTCACAATTGAAATACCTGCTCAGCTCTCAGTTGGAACTTATTAAAGTGCACTTCGTACACTCGTTCCCGTGGACATGTGCGCGGGTATGTAAGTATTTCCTTTGATGGCTATTTGTTCAATCGTTTCGACACCTTTTCGGAACAAACATGGATTCAAGTTTATGGAAAACTAATTTCGCAAAACCACTTCCAATAAATAATCAAGTTGAGCTCAGCTCAGCTCAGCTCAGCAGTTGAATGGCAAAAGTTCAGGACTGAAGGAAGTAGCTCCCTGCGGAGCTCCTTAAAAATGTCTTCGCATCGCACTGGAGGAGCTGCAGCGCCACAGATTCGCTCAAGTCGATGCAGGCAGGCAACCATAATTCAGCAGCAACCCAGGAGATAGCGGGCTGGCGAGGGGAGGGGAGGGGACAGTGAGAGTTTATATCTTGTGGGTCAGTTTTTCTTTTGCTCGAAGTCGCTGCGGATGGACTGTAGTAGATGTAGTAGAGAAAAAGAAATGTGTAAGAAAAATAAGCAAAGGAAAGGAAGAATGGCTGGGTTGGCTGTGCGAGAGCGCAGTGCGGCCCCCACTTGGGGGGCCAGTTTAAAATTTATTCGATTCCAAGAGTCGTAATGATAATCGCAATAATCATAATGCAAATATTACATAAAGCAAATTGCCGCAAATATTTCACAAATAAATCGCAAGGGTCCAGGGTCCGTTCGAGGATCCTGTTCCTGCTCCTGATTGCCTCTGGTTTTACACATTTTACACAGTTTTTTTTTTTTGCTTTCTTCTGCTTCTATTTCTGCAGTTTATTGAACGTCCAGCATGAACGTTGAATATTGTAATTGTATCGATGCGATGTTGCTGTTGCTGATGTTGATGTTGATGTTGCGGCGTGCTCATTGACGCACATTTCCCACAATGGCCATTAATTTGTTTACAATTACATGGATTTTTGCTTTACGTATATATGTATGTAGTTTTTTTCCTGCATGCTCATTTATTGTTTTTCCGACATTTTAAAATTTTTTTTTTTTACCATTTTGATTGTGCTTTTGTTTGCCATGTGGTTGTTTGTTAGTTGCGGCCTGCTCTGCTCTGCTCAGCTCTGCTTTATGGCAGGCACTCATCCTCCATCCACAGGGCGTTAGTGAATGATGCAAGTCAATCAGAACTGGAGTTGGACTTGACGTGACTTGAGGCTTTGAACTTCAAATGTATGCCCAGGTGCCGTTGAAAATGCTGGCAATGTGTTGAGAATTCTGCTGTCGTTGGTTCGTTGTCACTGTCCCCTGTCGCCTGGGTGCCTGGGTGCCTGGGTGCCTTCTGTGGCTGTGGTCATTGGGCTCGCTCGGCAATTGATGCAAATCGTTGCATCAATCGATGGAGCATCTGGCCCCCACATTCTCACAATTACACACTAATGAACTGCATGTGCAGGCAGCACTTAAGGCACATGGAGCAAGCAAGCAATCATTCCGGGCATTCCAGCCAGACATCCATCCATTCATTCATTCATTCATCTTGCTCCATTCGCATTCTGCGGTGCCGTAGAAGCCTTGACTTGCGGTCGTCACCTTACCCAAAAACCGCAAATGGCATGCCCTTTGCAGAGTTAAGCGATGAGACACGACCCTCACTGCTTAACACTGCAACACATCGATATTCGTGGAGGCCGAATGAATATTGTTGACAATTAATTGGGCAAAGGGAAGCTGCAACTGCACACTGCAGACTACAGACTGCAGACTCTGTTTAAATTAGTTTTATTTTGTATTTATATGCCACAGTTTTTTTTTAAATAAATAAAAATACTCGTATTAAGTAGCTGCAGAAGATTTGAAAAGTTTTTTGTGTGGGAAAGATTTGCAAGTTGGATGCTTGGATGAAAACTGCAGGCCAACGGAGTGTATATATTTAATAAGTGGGATCACACTGGCCAACTCTGGCCGTGGGGCAGGCTAGCACTTAGACGCCACTTCTTCGAGGCACTCCAGTGCTCGACTTAAGCTCCCTGCTGCTTCTTTTTTGCCTGCGGCTGCTACTGCTGCTGCTGCTGCTACTGCTGCTGCTGGTGCTGCTTCGTGCTGTTCCTTTGCCTTGTTTCCTGCTGCCACTACCATCAACTGCTCCTTTATCCTTTTTGCTGCTGCATTTTCATGTGATTTCATTTCTGGGCTGGCAAGCAGTGTTATTTATGAACTGTGCGCGCCTGCAAGTATGCAACGATTATAATAATTTTAGCTTATAATGTGTTTTTGCACGAACCCACCCGATCCCCATCCTCCATCCGCATCGTCGTCGTCTCGTCTGGCAATTTGCTGATTTATTCGCACTTAGGTGACTTAAAGTATCCTGTCTGGCGAGAGCTCCTGAGGGCACCAGCACCCGCACCAGCACCCGCACCCCCTTCAGTGTGCCAGTGGCAGTGCCATCCCCAAGGGATATGGGTGTGCGCTTAGCAGCTCGTAACTTTTGTGCTTACCTTGTTGTGTGGAGTGCCCCATGCCTGCCTGCGCGGGAGGGATAAAGGATAAGGATAACTATAACTATAAGGATATATGTATAGCCAGGTCAGAGGTCAGGGCGCACCAAAAGGTGGGGGTATGCATTTAAAAATGCATTAGCGTAAATCAATGGATGCGATATGCCCTTATGATTGGCACTAAATCTCTCCTCCACTGGCCAGCAAGCCAGCCAGCAGGCCAGCCAGCCAACCAGCCAACCAGCCACGACCTACCGCCTGCCCCCAGTGTCAAAGGGGTCTCGGTGCTCCTCTGTTGATCCTCTGGCTAATGCATTTCTTGGCTCAATTTAAATCAACTGACGGTGTCCGGTGGCCGCATCCAAAAACTCCGGAGGGATGTCGAGTGCAGCGAAAAACAATTTTTGGGGGGCCACAACTTTTTGCCGGCGGTCAAGTGAGAAATTACCGAGCGGTGAGAGGGCCAAAGAAGAGCACAGCTCGTCTGTCGTTACTGGGGGAAAATCCATTTAAGCAAAAGTTTAATAATGGCCAAAGCCAAACGATGAGCTGGCATTTTCCGGTCGAGCGATGCAGCTGCAAGCTGAAAAAGGGTTTTGCCATTGCCCCTTGACTGCGACTGCTACTGCGACTGCTGCTGCTGCTGCTGCTGCTGCTGCTGCTGCTGCTACTGCGGCATGAGGATGTGGCGTCTCGGATGGGATGGAGTCTTTGCGGCAAAGTGACTCTGACTCTGAGGCTGAATCTTCTTCAAGCTGATTTGCACTTCCTTCCGATCTCATGGAGTTTCCCCAATTCGATTTGATCCAACTTTGTTGTGCCAGCAGCCAGAAGGCAGTTTCCCTTTAACAACTTCTCTCTCTCTCTGTCTCTGCCTGTTCCTTTACCTGATTGCTGGCTCTCTCTCTCTCTTTGTTGCCTGACTGGCGCTGGAAGGGAATGTTGCTTGTAGGCATTCAAGGATGCCATTTTGTTGTTGCTCCCATCAGACGGTAGGCGACAATGCAATAAAGTTGTTAATTTTATTATACAACACGAACATGCCACACACTCTCTAGGACACACACACACAGATGAAAGTGTTAATGATGCTTTAAATTTGGTGCTTCAAGTTTTCATAAGCTTAATTGAATTGGGGGAAAAGGCGCCGTAACGGAAGGGAAAGCCAAGGCTGGCAAATTAATTGGAAATGAGCGTGTATAAAATAAGGCGTGTGCTGCTACATTGCTACAGTGCGTTTCACTGCGGTAGGTAGCTAACCGCAGCATCACTTCAGCGCACACACAAAATTGTGTACAACAACAACAAAAAATCATTAAAGGAGCAGCTCGAAATAGGAGAAAATATTTTGTTTGGCTCAATTCTAAGATTAAATACAATAATTTAATATATGATGTTGGAGTGTTTTTTGGGAGGGTTTATACATGCATAGATACTCGTATGTGTGCACATGTTAGATATAATTTTATGTAATATATATAATAAAATATAATATATATTTAATTCACTGCGTGAATTGTGTATATTTAACCCTTGAGGCACTTATTATTTTACACCACAAAAAAACTAAGAATATTTTCATCATCTGGAAAAATATATTCAGTTGATGTAAAAGCTCTTGGTGCCTCAGGGCACTCCAGGCCTAGAGGGCTAAGGACAGGCAGCGATATCAGCGATCGGTAACAGTGCGCTGTAACCGGGATCGGCCACAGACTGTTAACGGAGAGCGCTAACAGGCTGTAAGACTCGGCTGTTAACAGCGCCGTTTCTGTGTTACAGCTGCGTTACAGCATTTTTCAAGGAAAATCTATGCCAAAAAGGGAGGATAAACTGGTTTAGTTTGACAGTTTATATATGGAACTTGCGCAAGCAGATTTCTTGGAAAAAAACGTGGGGAAAATAAAGCTCTAAGCCGCTTTTACCTTAGCAAAATGGTCAAATAATTGCAGTCAGTCACTCCAATTTCCAATCTGCCTTAAAGCTGTGAGACACACACTGTGCTGGTGTACCCATATACATATTTCATGCACGCGTGTGTGAAAACACACGCGTATTAGCTCACCCATATGAATACACACACACACACATAAATATACATATATATATGTATATTCGCATATGTAATACCCCATGATATACGCATACCATGCAGACACGTAGTCCCCGTGAAATGCAATTGAAAAAG